GGCAGCTGTACTACGGCTTGTTCTACTGCCGACCGCAGCCGCCGCGAAAATAGAGCGAGCCAATCGGAAAACGGCATTTCGCACGGAAAATGAAAACCGGACGCGGCGACGGTGCGGACACGGGCGTATTTGAGTTTTCAGCGGCGCTTTTATCGGTCGCTGAAATTCGGTTTTCGTTTCGCTCGTTACGTGCGTAAAAGCGGCGGCGGAAACGCACGGATTTGTTCGTTCGGTTTGTTATCGGTTCGTTCGGTTTTCTTCGGGCCTGTTGCAGAAAACGATAACGGAAAACGAGCTGCGTGGTTTCCGAGCGGCCCGGGGACGTCCGGGTTCCGAACGCGCCCATGCGAACGGGCGCCCACAATCACAGCCGCTAATCCGCGCCGCCGTCGCGCGCGCACGGTCGTTTCCTACCGCGGCGCCTGTCCGAATATAACACGGAATATTAGCGCGGCATTAACGGGCATGACGTCGGGCATTATCGCGCGGTCCCGTCCTCGGAATACTAACGCGAGATAATGAAAACGACGATTACGTATGCGCCCGGGCCCCGGGCGTCCGGCGCGACGCGTTTTGTTATTATAAACAGGGACCGGCCACGGGACTACGGGGGTTAAACACAGTGTACCCGTGTAGGTGGTACAGCGCCGTGTCGTGTTTTACGCGCAACATTCCGTTTTGTGAAATATATAATCCGGTGTAATTGCGGGGCGTATTTGCATTTCCCCCCCCCCACACACACACACACACCCGGCGAGGTCGAAGGGGGTTTCCCGTGTCCCGGACGGACGTGCCGCAACTGTAGCAACGGCGAAAACCGCCGCGGGCGCGCGCCCGGCGGAGAGTGGAAATCTCGCTCAGCGCGCGTGTCCGCTGTACGGAAAACGGACCGATCGAATCCGGTAACGGAATATTAAACGTTTGTTTTGCGGGCATATTGTGGGGAACGATTACTCACGCCGCTGGGCGGGACCGCAGTGGCGCGGCGAAGGGATTCCGAACGTTTACGATATTTGACCGGTACGGTAGTGTGTGTATAACAGAAATATACTGCGGAGAATAACTCTGATGGAACTGCATGTACTTCTAAATATGGTTCTAGCACGTAGGGTTCAACCGGATTGCATACAAATCGTAAATATTTCGGCGGGCGTTCGTAAATTTTAGAAGGACGCTGAACTGTAGTCGCTAATTTTTTTTTTTTTTTTCCCATTGAACCGTAACACAAAGTGTTTAATCGGAAATTAGAAGTGTGTGGTACGGATTTGAGAAGTGTGCACTATAAAAACATAACGATTAGAAACTGTTGAATTTTCTTAATTTTTAAATTTTAAATTAACGCCTAACGATAACCAACGGCCAAAATTTGTTGTTCATTACGTTTTACCAAGTCGGCGTATACTTTGTGAATCCCGCGTCGTTCGATCGGACCATTATCCATGAAAAGTAATAAAAGCCAAGCCCGCTGAAAAATACGACTTTTGATTCGTACAGGTGTGGTGAGTGTCCCGAATTGTGTCGGCCTCGTAGATAATAAAGTTCACCGCGCCGACGGACGGGAGAACGTGCAACAGGGAAAAGTTCGACATTTCGCTGTAGGGTAAGGGGCTCGTGGAGCTCGCGATCCTCGGATGTTCGCCGGAAGAATAACCCGCTCTATTGAAAATACGAGATTGATCGTTTGAGGAATCGCCGCCGCTGTTGGGAATCCGCAACGTACGGATATTTATCGGGAACCGCAGTAATGCATTTTATATGTTTATTTTTTCTGTCTTCTATATCAAAAATATCCCGGAGTCCGTGCCGCGATAAAAATATCTCGAACGGAGATCTATTGACGTTTTACATATAAATATAAAAAAAAATAATAATAATAATATCAGTTGCGCGCTCAAACGACTTTTGCATTGACTACTGTATGTATACAGATAAGTACGATAAGTATTACAGGTTATATGTATATAATATCGATAAGTTTTTTTTTTTTTTTTTCTAATTTTGGTTTCTTTTTATTATTATTTTATTTATTTATTATGGCCCATTTTTCGTATTATTTTCTTATGTATTATATATTATATAGTATAATATATCAAAAAAAAAAAAATAATAATAATAAAAAGATTATAATAATAATAATAATAATAATAAAAATGCACAAAGGCGTTCTCCGCGTTAATAAGCGTCAAATTTTCCGCCTCGAATATTTTTGTTGTTGTTGTTGTTTGACCGGACTTCAAAGTAAGTATATATTAACAAACTAGTAGAATACTGTGTAATATACGGGTGTTGGCAACGGGTTCTATCCGTCAAAGGCTATCGATTGGTTATAATATTATATAAGTGTATAGGATCGGGGAGGGGGGTGGGCCTGGGGTTTGTATGGGGTACGGGATGCTGTGAATCGGGGGGAATCGTTACTATGATATCATAATAACATACGCGGGACACGAATCGCACACAGACAGATCGAGTGATATTCATCGGACGTGGCATTATAACCCCGGCGATGGTGATAACAGTATTTCGCGTTATTGTTATCGCCGCGACATCGCGGGCGAACGTCACTTCTCCCCGGGATGATGAGAAATCAAAGTCAAAAGAACGCAAATGCCAATAACTGGTGAATTTCGAATGTTGGGTTTCGGTTAGAATAAGTGGCGGTTTTAGGTTTTAGGTTTAGGGAAATTGCTTTTCTCGGCGCGGCACTGTCAGGTTCGAGGTTCGGATGAGTATAATACGCCCGGGTCGGTTTTTCGCGGCAGTTTCATTTAATTGTAAATATTTTTTTTTCTCCTTCTCGTCTCCCGGAGAAAAGTGACGTGGCGATTTGTACTGCAGCGGTTTTGCAGAAATCCGTACAGGAACGCTCGCCCGAGCACGGCGACCGCGATCAGGACGACGGCCGCGGAAGACCGCGGACACGCGCTCGGGGGGAGGAACACTCGTTTCGGGGAATACCGTCAAAATGTGTAATATACATAATGTGTTATACACGTATGAATGCGAATCATTCTGTCTGTATGCGATCTCGGTTGTTTCGCGTAGAGAAACGTACAGACATAAATAATAATAATAATAATAATAATAATAATAATAATAATACTAATTATAATATAAAGGCATTACCGTTTTTAAAAACTATTAAAATAATGTTGTATAGTAATAAAATGTGCCCGCACGAATACGTAATAATAAGTAAAATATCGTCTTAAGTGTATATTTTGAACGGGGGCAGAGGGGGTGGGGGGGAATCATAAATTAAAATATTAAAAGAAGAGTGAAAAAAAAAAAAAAATCTATACATTATTTATATATATGTATATATATATATATATAATATGTAAATTCGATAAACTCGAATTTTTCTTTTTTTTCATTTTATACCTAAATAATGTTAATCGCCACCCCCTCGCACCCCCGGGTGGCGTACGCACGCCGCGTGTGATAATGTAATTTTGTGTGTTGTTATTATGCGCGCAATTGTCCCATAATAACATCATCAGTTTATTCTGCCCTTGTGCGTCAGGAAACATCTGGCCGGCGCGCCGGTGATAACCTGGTGCGCCGCGGGGTCTTCGCCGCATCCCTTGATCAGCCTCTTGGACCGATAGCACATGACCGTGAGCGCCAAGCTCAAGAAGCACAGCACGGTGGACGCGAGCGCCAGAAGGCCGGCCAGCAGACCGGACCGCACGCACACCGAATTATGACTGTTGTCCGTGTAGTAACCGGTGGTTCCTGCGACGAACGGAAAAACGCAAAATATAAACATTTAAAAATAAACGAACCCCCCCACCCGGTATTTTGTCGAGGAAAATATGCGATTTTGCCCCGTTTTCGAATGAGAAAAAAAAAAAAAAAAACGGCACGCACAGCGAAACGACAATGCGCATTGCCATGTACAGTCGGTACAGTCGTGTTTCGAGTGTTATTGTAACATGATATTGTGTAAGGTGTGTTTTGACGATTGACCCGGCTGTACGATTTCGCGTAATGGTTACATAGATTCACATAGAACGACACGTTTAAGGTTATTATAAATAATGTAAGTCGATACTCGTAGAAAAAAAAAAAAAAAAAAAAAAAGGCTAGACATTATCTAATTTACATTGCTCCGCCAACAATCAACGTCACGACCTTTCGTTTCGTTTGGTCAGGTTGGGTTTCGGTAACGTAAAACCGAAATCGCCAAAACGGTTTTTGTTCTAGAAAATTAGTTATAGCAACCGGATTACATTTGGTTATTCGCCAAGACACGAGCCTTTAGTTTAGCTAGCGAGACGGTTATTGCGCGGTTTCCGGCTTGTCGCGCTGTTGCACCGACGCCCGTTGGCGTAATATTCCCATTAACGTCTGTCGGTAGGTTTGCGTACGTCTACTGAAAAGCCGCACGGGTGTTTAACGCTTTTCGGACGGTTTTCGAACGGTTCGCGTAAAATAAAAATATCGATGGTATCGGAAATTACGAGAATTCGCGGGATAACGATTTTTCGCGTTCCGCCCGAATTCGGCACCGTGTAGTGCGAACCGAAACTCGCAATCGAAACAGTTCAAAAAAAATTCGGCAAAGTGGAAACCACTATTTGGCGATGTCGCGACCGAGTACCAGACAGTGTTGCAGTGCGCATTGCAGTTTACCGAAAACTAACTCGACACACGCCTATTAACATTATAAAAAATAAACTACATGGAAACAAAAATAATTCACACTCACTGTTGGTAAGTGCGCTGGCGTCCTCGCTGTTTTCGCCTTCCTGGAGCACTCTTAACGATTGGAACAAGTTGATGTTCTGCGACAGGGCCGCCGGCGTGGTCGCCACTTCCACGTCGGTGGACCGTTTCGCCACGCTCTTGGCGTTCCTCCAGTGGCACGGTTGGCTCTGTACGGCGAGAAAAAAAAAATAAATACAAAACATACAGCGCGTAAGTAAAACCGGCAAAGTCAATCGTCGAGAGTTAATCGGCAGGACCGCGGGGGACCCGTTCGACTCACCGGACATCTGCCGTGGCACATCCGGACGTCGCACTCGATGTAAAGCGCCGGCGATCCCGTGAATCTAAACGTTTTCATGTAAGCGAACACTTGGGTCTCGAACACTTGGCTCTCGCTCCACGAACCCCGGAAACGGCTGATCAGTTTGTCGTCGACCGGGCAACTGCGAAAAAGGCGATAGTAGTTAACGCGTCCCGTCCGATTGCAGAACGAAACGTTCATGATACGTGTACAATCGTAATAGGCTATTCGAATACAGGGGCTTCTAGTGTTTGCGTGTTATTTTCGACAGATTATTATTAGAAAAAAAGCCTAGTCGAGCATATCGACGCTGTTCGTCGTGTATTGGCAACTAATACCCGAATATCATTTTACATACGTTTGCGTATTTTACCGAATTTTTTCGATTTTTGGGACGTATTTTAACAGCGTGCCGCTTTTAAATGCTGTAAGAGGATATATATATATAATGAATATCTTATCTTATTGTACGCCGCATGTGTTATACGCGCTTTTTTTTTCGATTTACGTTTTAAAACAGTTGATTTGGTTGACAAACAAACGTTGAGCGTGATCGATATTTCCAAAACTAATTAACTCAATACACAAAGATTTTACTTCAATACTATTAAACAATAATAAATCAGTTTTTAGTGTTTCGGTTTCAATAAAAAAAAAAAACAAATATTGTTTTTGAACGAAATATTCGAGCGCATAATATTTGGATGTTTTTTTATTTGCGTGTGTTTTTTTTTTTAGAGCTAGAAGTCCCTGAACCTAATATTACGATTTACTTCAAATTTCTCACCCGTATTGATCGATGAGTTGAATTTTTTTCTGTGCTCCGTTGTGCGCGTAACAGTCGTTAACCACGATGTCGAAACCGTCTGTATATATAAAAAAAAAAAAAAAAAATGCCGAGCTCAAAAAGAGAACGATGTCATACTTTTCGGGAAAAAAAGCTATCCTAAAATTGCATTGGTACGCAACGCTTTTTTTGAGCTTTTAAACGTTCTCAGTTTCCCCTTCATACGTTTCCCCAGACTTCCGTCCTCTCTCCTTACTTATGACTTTCACCCTATTGTACGTCGGTTTTTAGAGATTTCACACTCGGTAATTTGTTTAAATCATTTCCTCTCCTCCAGTATATCTCGCCTTCGCCCGCATCGTGCTGGAGGGAAAACTTCCAAATACAGCCGAACAGGTACAAAGCTAAAATACTGATCATTACGATTTATTCTAGGACAAGAATCGAATCGTTTAGGGTGTCGAATTGAACGTCCGCCGAAATTTCGTACGTTTTACCGTACGGCGCATTACATACGCAATATCTGCGCGCGCGAGCCGGTTGTGAAACGATCCGCGCGAAACCTTCATGATAATATAATACCCGTCGTTACCGTATTTGCTCCTCATGTAGATGATCAACGTCAACGGGTCTCCGACGCGAACCGGTCCGCCGACCCTGTTGCCGGTGGTGCCGTATCCGTACCGTATTTCCATGTAACATTCGGGCGGCGACAACGTGAAAACGACCGGATTTCCGGTGGCCACTCTGCGCGGACAAAACAAAACGGCATTATTAGTGATGCCGTCACGCTGTTACCGCGTGAAAAAAGGGCGAACGTTGATGCGGTTCGTATCCCCGCCCTACCACCCGCCCGTTTTAACAAACGAAAAATTGCGCGAGACGGAAATTTCGTTATTGGCAGAGCCGACAACACGCTGGCAATGTTATCGGCGTGTTGCAATACGTATGATACACATTCGTGGCGCGCGTTTTCGAACTATTTCTACTCGAAGAGCATCACCGCTTCGTTTTCAGTGTGGTTCGGACGTGTTCCCGAGTGTACGGGTTTGTTTTCGTTACCGTGGACATATTCGGCGATATTTAAAAAAAAAAAAACGACGATAATAATAATAATAGTTTTAATAGATTGTGCAATTTGTTCAGCTTTAATCAACAATAGAAAAAATAAAATTAAAAAATCGGAAGGGCGTGTTTATTTTTTATTTCGTGCAATTATTATACCGGCCATCGGATGTCTATTTAAACTATTTGCAATCGAGCGTAATAATTTGATATTTTGTACAGAGCGTATTATTACATAGTTTTTTTTTAGTGCATCAAAGTCCGCCCATTTAATGTAAAACACGATTTTGCTGCATATATGATTTTTAACAACACGTACTCAACATCTAAAAACGGAAAAGTCACCGTCTTCCAGAAATCGTAACCGTATTCGCAGGTCACCTTGAAGTGCTCGTCCCATTCCTCTTCGATCAGCGGGTTGTACTGGACGGTGACGGTGTTCCACATGA